GGGTTGTATTTGGGGAATGCATTAACACCACAAAGAGAGGTGGTAGCGTCTCAGGGGCAGGTTCCGTATCAGAAAATTCAGGATGTAATTGACATTCTGGATCACAGGTATGTTGACCCAGTTGATGGTGAAGAATTGTTTGAGAAGACGATCGGAGACATGTTGCACAGCCTGGATCCACACAGTAATTATATTTCTGGAAAGGATCTGTTGGCGATGAACGAGCAGATCGAGGGGAATTTCGGTGGAGTAGGCGTTCGTTTCTTCATTATTCGCGATACGCTTTGTATCACGAATGTTTTGCCAAACTCCCCATCCGAAAGAGTTGGTTTGAAATCGGGAGATAAGATCGTTGAGATTGACGGAGAGAAAGTCGCATCGAAGAAGATCACGAATGATAAAGTGATGTCAATGTTGAAGGGATTGGCAGGAACGGATGTGAAATTGAAGATTCTTCGCGACGGGAAAAAGATTGATAAGACAGTAACGCGTGGTGGAATTCCAATCCAATCTGTGATCGCTGCTTATATGCTGGATAATTCAACAGGTTATATCCGAATTAATAGTTTTTCGAAGACTACAAGCGCAGAATTTAGAGAAGCTTCCGGACGTTTGCTTTCTGAAGGAATGAAAAAGGTAATTCTTGATGTTCGAAGTAACGGTGGAGGAGTTCTAACCGGAGCAACGGAGATCGCTGATGAATTTCTGGAGAGTGGATTGACGATCGTGGAAACGCGTGGAGAGCACATGACAGATTACAAATACCGAAGTACTCCCAAAGGAAACCTGAAAGATATTGAGGTCGCAGTATTGATCAATGAAAGTTCAGCTTCAGCTTCGGAAATTTTAGCGGGAGCAATTCAGGATAACGATCGCGGAGTGATCATCGGACGACGTTCTTTTGGAAAAGGGTTGGTTCAGGAAGATTTGCCATTGAGAGACGGAAGTAACGTTCGTTTGACAATCGCGAGATATTACACTCCAACAGGACGATGTATTCAGAAACCATACTCAGACGATTTCGAAGATTACTACAAAGACCACATGGATCGCTACGATAATGGTGAGCTTTACGCAGTAGATTCTTCGCTCTTCGTTGATTCATTAAA